AACACCCTTTAAGCACCATGCATTCAGTCCTAAGAAAAAAATAATATTATAATGTTATATTCTATATTGTTATCCTGCTTTCTTCTGATCTTAGTGCTATTCTTGTTGATCAGCTGGGCTACAATTGTAGAACAGCCAGCCATATATATCTCAGTTAAATGTGAGAGTGGTATTTGGCTATGTACTGTCTATGAGATAGGGTTGGAATGATGTGTCAGAAGATTTGTAATATTATTTATTCATATTCCTTATGTATCCCAGAATTTTGTCATTGCGGGGATTGTTATACAAAAAATTAGAGATTGTCTACGAGTTTTGTAAGTAATGGTCAAAGCATTGAGGGGGAAATCCCTCCCACTGCTGTTTGAGATTCGTTTGGATGGGCAGTGCTTCTTTTTACTAAGGTCCTGTTTCGTTTGGTGTTTATTTACCACCATTTCCTTTAACTAGATAACTTCTTCACTGCATGTTATATATCTTTTATTTAACAGGATACATGTTTTGTGCATTGTCTTTTAAATTAAAAAGCATTTAGGTGGTCCAGTCTGGGGGAGGCTGTAAAATGGAGACAGGACAGTAGGGCTTCTTTCTGGTGTTGCTGGGATTTCAGGAAAGGTTTGGTATATCCAAGTTCAAGTTTGCTTGTGTCAAGTTAGCGAGGAAAAGGAACACATCCTTTTGCTTTTCTTCCTTTTATGCACTTACACAGGCAAATGTGAGTGAATGTGAAATGCAGCCACGTTCTGCATGAGAGATGAGAAGCTGTTCTCAGTGAGTGTATCATAGCTGAGTCAGCTGGGCCCCCTGCTGCGCTCGCTTTGTTGGTTTTAAAGGTCTGTGTCCTAAAGTACCTAGTTCTGTTAAATATTAGTAAGCCAGTACAGTGAATTTTGATCAACCAAAGTTGACTGAAGATGTATTGTCTGCCTTGTGTGTTGCGTCTGGTAAACAGCTGGTTGCTGTGGAAACTGCCTCAAAAAGGTAGAGGGTCCTTGGTACCACAAATTCTGTAAACAAAGCCTGATAATAGCACATTCTGACATTAGTCTTCGAAGAAGGATGAAAGAAGAGGAAGAGATTCAGACAGCTTTTTCCTTTTGTAAACTCACTGCTTTATAGGGGAAAAAATAGCTAGAAATAGTCTGTCTCGTACAGAATGAAAAGGTTGGGGATTAAGGCAGTGCATTAGTGAAACAGCTGTATGAATGTGAAACAGAAAGTTCTCCAGCTTCAGCCATTATGGGTTTGTTTGGTTAGGTCTAATTTTGGAAGTCATTATAGCAAAGGTAAATGACTTGCGCAGGAGACTACTGTAAACAAAAGACTCGATACATTTACTTTGGCAGGAGCCCTGAGAAGACTCGGTCCTTTCACTGCCTCTTTTATGCAGCCTTCTGTAATACTCACTGCCCGCCTCTGTGTGCAGGCAGCTCTCATTTCCCTTCCTCCTGTCTGACAGCTTCTTTCCTCTGACAGGTAGGATTTAGGGGTGGCAGCACCTGCCGTTGAAGTGCTGGTGTGGAGCTGTAGAATACCTTTATTTTTATAGCAGCTGTCCCTTGACTTCTAAAGGCACTGTTTTGTGCTCAAGTAAGAATCCATTCATTCTCTCTGGTTTATACTGGAGTACAAATGCTTTACTCTTTAATTGTGGTTTCCCTTTGGTGTTTTTTCTTTTATCATTTCATAGTTTTATATCTACAGATTCTGAGCATACTGATGCTTCACTGAATTTATAGTTTTTCAGTGAAGAGTAAACCATGAGAATTGCAATTCCCTTTCCGGGTCTCTACTCATGTAGTTCAGTCAAGGCTCTACCCATTCCACACCTACTTACTCACACTTATGTGGGTGGGAAGGCAACTTCTAGACTCATATAATCATAGAATTAGGGTTGGAAAGGACATTAAGATCAAGTTCCAACCCCCCTGCCATAGGCAGGGACACAACACACTGAACCATGACACCCAACCCTGCATTCAACCTGGCCTTAAGCACTAACATGATGACAGAGAGTGTCCATGCAGAGTCTGCTTCTTCCCTTTAACAGAGCTCCTCATGAACATATCATATGGCTGTAGGAGAGCTTCCACTGACTTCTAAAGCTGGGAGGATGGAGTAGAGGGGCAGAGTCAGTATCCTCTCCTAGCTGCCCTCACTTGCTGGCTCCTCTTCTGCACTCCCTGTCTGTTGGGTGACCTGGGAGACTCTCCTTCACCCATCTCATGGGTGAATGCTGTCTGCTGCCACTTCCCAGATTCCCAGAAAGTGCTTTCAGTCAAGGAATAATTGTTCGGGTTCACTTTGACTCCTAAACCAGATGGGGCACACTCTACTGTTAATTCAGTATTTTTAAATACAAGATAATTATGCTGCATCACAAGAAACCCATCTCTGCATGTTCTCACATGCTTTATGCCCGTGGGGAATAGCAATGCTGCTGGTCATTCTGATACATAACTAGCATCAAAGCAATCTATAGGGTCATTTTCTACTGCTGCTTTAGAAGAGAGGATTATCTTTATCTCTGAAATTGCTCCCTTAATGCTCATTAACTAGCAATACAGTAATCAAGAAGCTGGTATGAAAAGATTTTGTCTAATAGTAGCCCTGATCTCTGAAATGGAGTTTAACCACATAATAATTACACACTAAAATGTTTGACCAGTCTGACTGATATAAACAAACCAACCATGGAACTGAGTGCCTGGAAAGAGGTTTTATTTCAGATGAATTTCATCTCATGCTGTATATACAACATAGCAGTATACTTTCAGGTCAGGTGACTGATTCTGAAGAAAAAGATGTGGTTTTAACTGCATGAACTCTTTTGAACCTTCTACCTGCAGGGTCTTTGAATGTCAGAACCAGACAGCTTTGTTTTACTGGTATTATTCTCCAAGGTCTTAAAAAGCCAGAAAAGTAATACAAACGTTCTGTTAAAGAGACACATCCTGCTCTTGACTTACTGGAGGTGCAAAAGATGCACATTTTGAGAAAGCTAACACAATGTTCTGACTTTACATTAAGAATTAATAAAATATAGGCATCTTTTTTCCTGTGAGGAGGTACTTCCTTCTGTATAATCTAAATGGTGAGGTTTGGTTACTGCCTCCAGTATGAGAATATAAACCCAAGGTCAAGTGCAAAAGTTTTGGCTATCCGTACTTGTTTTAAATCTCCAGTATGAGATCCAGCCTGGCATTTCAGAGGTGGCAGAGTGGCTTTAGATAGTTTAGAACACCAAGAAGTTGTGCAAAAGTGCTCCATACACAGCAACATTCAGGAAGTGGGCACCTTCCTTGGAGTGAGGAGCCAACATCATTTATAGCACAAAGACCTAAGTGATACGTACAATTGAAGACCCATTTTCCATCTGTGAAATTAACATCATAACCTTCTTTTCCTCTTAACAGTAAGGTAGTATAACTATTTCTAGAAGATTAAACTCATAGGCATTAGTGTATTCCTGATACAATATGCTCTTTTTCTTAATTAATCTTTGGTTTGGAGGATGTTTTACTTCCCTACACATCAGAACGTGCTTTAGATGTACCATGCTCAGTAGAATTAACTGTGAATAAAAGCTTGTTTTATTTTCAAAAGGAGTTTTGTCATCTCTGCCCAGAAGACTTGGTGAACTTATTAAATGCTGCAGACACGTGCTAAAAGCCATGGTATTGATGGGGAGGTGTGCGGTGCCTCTCCCTGTCTCTCACCCACCAAATCCTTCCAAAAACAGGGAAGTGTGTGCGGTTCCAGGAGCTGTCAGTCCATGGTTGTACTCAGCAGTCGGAGAGGAGGCTGTTGAGGGGGTGTCCTTAAATTCTGAAAATCTAGATTTGTTCTTCTAAGCTCTGAGCAATCTCTATCACGCTGATTTAATTAGTGAAAAACTCTCTTTTCGCAAGACAAAACTTAGTGGCACATATGTTTATGATAAGTTTATTTTTGATTTTAAATTTATTTCTGGTATTATTAAATATATATAATAATATATAATATTGTATTTATTACATTTATTGTGGAATATAAATACTTGTGGTATTTAAATGTATTTATGTTTAAAATTAATGTATTTATGGTATTTAAATTTATTTATGTTAAAAATTATTTATTTATGGTACATAATGTCTCATCCCTGGCAGTGTTCCAGTCCAGGTTGGATGGGGCTTGGCGCAAGCTGCTCTAGTGGAAGGTGTCCCTGCCTGTGGCAGGGGTTGGAACTGGATGAGCTTTAAGGTCTCTTCCAACCCAAACCATTCTAGGAGTCTATGATGCTATGGTAGCAGAGCCAAATGCAGGTGGGACTTCCCGCTAGGTGAAAGGACTGAGGGTTGCTCTGCTTGTGGTCATAATGACCATAACGTTCTCGATACTTCCTAAGACCAGTGAAGGTTCAGAAGAGATTATTTAAATCTGTGAGGAAATGCAGCTGCAATAGGAGGAATTTACTGCATAAAGCAGTTTCTCCTTTAGAGTTTCTGTAACTATAGACACCTTACTCCTAGTAGAAACTGCTGAAAAGGACAGAAATGGAAAAAAAAGATGGCCCTTGCCTGATGCAACAGGTGCAGATTCAGTTGCGAGCATGAATCTCTGAGCTGAATCTCATTCACATGCCCAGAGAATGGCTGCAGGCATCTAGTCAGAGCTCCCACAGGAATGTGGGATTTCTGCATAAGTATTTCATATCTCTTGGAAAGATGCCAAGCAGAATTTAATTGCTTGCGGTGAAATCTTTGTGGCTAGATAGGACACTGAATACTTTTGAACTTTTAAATTGCTGTGGGACAGCCTGAGCTAGCATGGTTGTGTTTAATACACAGACAGATAATGAAAGATACTTCTTAATCAGATAGAGTTCTTTGGTGCACTGTTTTGGTTTATATGCACCACACTGACTTGAGGGAGAGGAAGGGAGTTCTTGTAATAACATACACACTTGTTTTTCTGTTTAGTCAATTGACAGGTGTTTGGTTTTTCTTGTGTCTGCCCAGGAAACCACGTCTTGTCTCCTGGAGAGCCTGTTGGAAAAGGTCTAACGCCAGAAGCTGCAAGAGATCTCGGTCTCCCTGAAGGGATTGCGGTAGGAGCATCTCTCATTGATGCCCATGCTGGAGGACTAGGTACTCAGTCACATATTTACTATTCTTGGAAACAGGAATGTCTTGAACTCATTTCAGAAAGCCATTTTTCTCACAGCCTGTTTTGTATCCAACAATTTGCTTTGAAGCTATTCCTATGAAATAGCATAGCTAAAAACCCAAACCCATCACAATAACTGCTAATATTGAATATCTATTTATAGAGAGGGGCTGTCACTCTTTATTTCTTTTCAGCTGGATTTCCATGTTGTTTGATAACTTGTGCTATTTCCACTTTGAATTCCTGAACTGATACACGAGTGTTTTGGCATGTAAACATGCTGAGAGTTTGCATCTTCTGTTGCTCAAAACTTTGGGATAGGGAATTAAAATAAAACCCATAACATTCTAGGGGAGAAGTCTTGTTCATGGTTACTCTTCCTTCTTAGTTTTAGAAGTAATTTGTACTTTGTCTAAATGCAATATAGACTTTTTCTATATATGTTTTTGCTAGCACAATGGGAGATATATAGCAAAAAAACACTGCTTTTGATCTAGAGGGTTTGAATATGTCAGTGATGTGTATCTAAACTTACAAACCAGACTAGAGGGGAAACTGGCCTCTGTACAGCATTCCCCTTCTGCAACTTTTATCCTTAACTGTAGTGGGAGGCTTGTTGCTTAGGTTTTCTCCTTTTCCAGCACTATATTCTGGTGTTCCAGGTTTCAGCTGTGTTGAAATGTATCAGGTGAGGCTCCATGGCTTCATTTTCTTACTATGTTTTTTGGCCTTATCTAAATAAAGTCAATAAAAAGGGATTTAATGTAGCTTTTTCAGCAGGAAATTGAGGTGGGTTTAGTTTGATAGTTCAGAAAAAAGTCTTACCTCAGAAAGTTTCAGTGTTACTGAAATAGTGCTGTTCAGTGGAAATCTATTGCTCATCAGAGGATTTTTCTCTAGATCTAAATGAATATGATTGACTGCTGAAGTACCAGTTGTGCTTCAAGTATTTTCTTGTGGTTTAAATTTCATTTATTCTTCTAGAAATTGTGGCCTGGAACATACAGAATGTTTAAATCCATTTACATTGCTTTTGATAACTGTTTTTGCTGAGGTTAAGTCGTCATGTAGATTGCTTTTCTTATTACCTCAGAAGGATTAGATTATAGATCCAGCTGCAAAAATACCACTGAGTTTTAGTGCCATAGTTGTAGATGTGTTGTGTCCCTGCTATTGTGACTTACCTGAAAATCTGTTTGTGTGAATTAGCATCCTAATTGCATAAAAATGTGTTTAAAACTGTCTGCCCTGGCAGTTTTGTGTTCTTGAAAAGGATGTAATAATAAGCTGAAATAATGAACTTGCTGAAAAACAGGATTGTCACAGAGCACATGAAAATGGCAGTGGAGGGTCCTTGTTTAATTGGAATCATTATGTGAGTACTGGATTCAGAGCACAGAAAGCGTGCCCAGTAAATTTCATGTGCTGAAATCTGAATTGAATTTAAAGAAGAGGAAGGAGCAACTGTCTGTTCATTTGCTATTGACTTACTTATATGAAGAAACTCTAACACTGGAAGTATATAGCTACTGGCATCCATCAGAGTAAGATTTCAGTGGATAGACAGTCTGCTTATGCTAGTCCTGATTATCAGAATATGTTTTCCCAGATGGCACTACAAACACCAGCAGCCTACTGAAATCATTGCCAGGAGGAAAATAAAATGTATAGGTGGTGGTTGTTAGAGAGGGAGAGATGTTATTGCATAAGGATGTCAGTAACCCAACAGGAGGATCTGCGTGCTAATCACATGATAACTTGAGTCTGGGAAAAAAGGAAGATCCTTCTTGAATCCAGGAGGTGAAATAAATAGGTGGGGAAACTATCAGAAAGCACAGTAAGAAGGAAAAGAATCGGATAGCAAAAGGGACAGCAGGAACAGGAGAGCCCAAGAGTGCAAATGTACGTGAAGAAAAGGAATAGTGTGGCTACATCTCGGATACCGAATAGCTCTCCTTCATCCATAGCTGTTAATAACAAGAACCTCAACCTTTCTAAAGTCTACTTTAACCTACATTGTGCAGAACACAGAGCTGAAAATCCTGAAGGAAAAGCAGAAAAGCAGAAGAACACACGTCATAGAAGTGATACTGTTCTGATTCAAAGATGTTAAGAATGGCAATGCACTAAAGCATATTAATCTTTTAATAATGATAAAAGGGGCACAGAAGAAAGCAGAGAAGAGATATTTGAAAGAATGAATTAAAATGTGAAAATATTGGAAATACGTAACTCTTGTAAAACTTTTGTTTGAAAAGGTGCTGATGTATGTTTTAGTGCTTGCTCTTCTGTGAACTGTAGTGAAATATTGAGGGTTACAATTTGCTTGAAGGATATGACTTGCTTATTAGTGAGCATTAGATTAGTCTGTGGGACAACAGCATCCAGTGGGTGTCATTATTCTTATTCTGGAACACATTCTGCTGGTTGTTTAAAAATAGTCTGTAATGGCAGAGTAATGACAAGGGCTCTCTCTTATCCTGCAGGCTAAACCAAATGACATGATGGATGTCTTGTTTTCATTGTTAATAACTTTTAATGCACTGTTCAGATCTGCTTTTGGCTGGATAGAAAGTGTGTTTTTGCTGGACAGGTTACTTAAGTTTATGAAGGTTTCAAAGTTTTGAGTAAATTAAGGTAAAGAATTACTTAATATGCATGTCTGTGGAGGTCATCTATGACTCCTGAATCAGTCCATCTGACACCTATTATGGAAAAGCTGGGTAGTTGCGTCTCACATTTTGACCTACTGTACCGATTTATAAGAGCCTACAGATACAAATGCAAGTATGGAAGGGCAGTCATTTGGGACTGGCCTCATAAAAATCATGTTTACATTGCACCTTTTAAAAAGACATCAGCATTGTTTCAGCAGAAGTAGATTTATTGCACAGTATCTAAAATACTTTGTGGAAGAGATCCAAAAGGACACATGCTAAGCATCACATGCTTTCCTACAATCTCTCCTACACTTTGTCTGCTATACACACTTCTTGTTCTCAGTCTCTCTTGAGAATCTTCAGGATATTTTTAAGTCTGCCTCAGAGTATGAAAAATGCCAACTGAGTTAAAGGTGGAAGTGACTTATAACAGCACTGGTATTATATAAGCTTTCATTGTTATGGGAATGTTCCAGACTTATTTAATGCCTCAATTTAATTAATCTCAAGTAGGAAGACCCCAGCAACTCAACTGTAAGCCCTAGTAAAGCCACTGATCTCAAAAAGGCCCTGCATGCCTGTTTTGCAGAATGCATGTTTTCTTACTGATTAAAAAATATCTAAACATGAAGCTCTTCAGTTCTGTATTGTTTATGAGAATACATTTGCAACATATGCTGCCAATTCAGTTGAATAGATTTGTTCCCTCTGAAGTGTGAACATTATTTTTAACTCCTTTAAGAAATTGTAATAGTGTTGCCTAGTACAGAAAATTGCTTTTAAACAGCCCTGTCCAAAATTCTTAATATGAACACATGCATGTCTCTGAGCAGCAAAAATTAAAGCATTAGAGGTAGAAGGCATACTTTTAGCTTTCCTTACAAATAAACTCTATGACAGCTGTGCTAGTACGTAGTTACAAGCCAGCTAGGACAAAGGACAGATTTTTGAAGACCGTAAAGCTTTAGCCTTTAATTTTCTGATTATTTAGTTAACTTCCAACCATGATGGAATTGCCATAATAACCATGGCAATCATGTAAGACAAGCCCCAGCAGACCAATTTGATAGCAGAATCTTGCAATGGTGACTTAAGCAAGAAAGTGTTCATGAAATGTAGCATACTAACCAGCAGTAACACTTGGCATCTTTTGTGATGTCCGGCAAATGCTTTCATTTCTACTACAGTGAGGAGGAAGATGTTTTTAGGAGGACTGGCAAACTGGTCACCAGATTTCTCGTTGCAGATGCAGTGTGCAGTCTGGTGACCAGTTTGACAGTTGAAAAGTAATACTCAAGAGAAACAAAAGACAAACAACAGAATATTACTTGTTGGGCTGCTGGATTTTGCTGGGTGCAGCACAACGTGATGCAAGAATGCAGCCTAGCAGAGGAGAAAGAGAGGGCAGGATTTCCACTTCAGCCTGCCCTTAAGTGAGTTAAGCAGGCTGTGATGCGTACTGAAGCCTGGCTGTAGGTTTGCCCCATTCTGTAAGCAAGCTCCTGGCTCCTCTCTGGCATCTCCTGGGTATGTGCTTCTGCTGCAGGCTGAGTGCTTGCTGAGTTTGTTCTCTGTCCTGTCCTGCACGCAGAAGCTCCTCAGAGCCAAGCACAGGTCTCTAAGGGAAGGAGTAATATTCCTTTAGATGGTTCTGTCTGACAGGGATACAACAGCAGCAGCAGTCAAGACAACAAAACTGGCAGCCTTCCAGTCTCCTGCCAACTTAGCCCTCATCCCCTGACATAACACATCATGCAGTATATGCGTTATAAACTGTGAACAAATAAAGATATCTGCAGCCTACCAAACTGCCTTTCAAAACTGCCTTTTATTCTGCAAGCTAGTGTACTACCAAAGAGAATAAAGATTAGATTGTAGTCAAAATAACATTCAAAAATTATGGTGATAAACATGAGCATCAGAGGAATCATCTTGTATCTGAAATAAAAATACATTTCAATCTGAATTCATAAAATAACTTTGCTTCTTGACCAAGTAGGTGCTGTTGATTTGTAGCAGTGGTGTGAGATACGCGGCAGTTACTTGTGTGTGGAAAAAGCTGTTTTGTGAGGGTTGGCTTGCTCTTCTCTTAAATAGATTTCAAATTTTATTTTAATAGGAGTAATTGGAGCAGATGTGAAAGGACATAACCTGCCATGTGAGAACCAGCCAATTACATCCCGAGTTGCTATGATCTGTGGAACATCTTCATGCCACATGGGGGTAGGTTGTATGCATAGCCCTAATTTGTGCGGAATATGCTAGCTAATGTTTTCGAAGGGAAAAATGACCTTTGTCCTTCTCACCCTTATCCTTTTCCTTGATTTTTTTTTTTTCTGGTAACTCTATCTTTACCTTTGGATATTAATTATATATTACCATGCATTTGCTATTAAGCAAGAACTTTAATAGTAGTAGAAATCAATACTGAAAAATGACATGGAAAGTAAAAACCACGATGCTGGAGTGGCTTAAAGAGCAGCCTGAAATCTGAGCCAAAGACTCTGAGCCTGAGTTATCTGTCACAAGCCTGTCACCAGTGTGCTACAGAATAGTGTCTTTGGAGAAGGAGTGCATGTCTTCAGTCACAGCCCTTCTCCCCCACCTCTTCACTTAATCAGTGTAAATCCTTCTACCTCTGAAAGTTGCCGTGATGTATAGAATTATGATACGTATCATGACTAAAAAGAAAGAAAAAGCCCAAAAAGCCATTTTCACTTTGCTAATTTTTCTCGGTAAATTAATACAAAAGCTTTTCCTGAGATTGCAATTCAAATTTAGTGTCTGCTTTTGAAATTTATACCTTTTTAAAATGTATGAGTCTAAAAGCATTCCCTTTAGATAAGTACCCTTTTCTGCTGCATTTTTTGTTTAAAACTCATTTTGGTCTTAAATTTAGACTGATTATAGCTTGCATTTTTCCAAAATTAGCAAATGGCAATGGGAGTACTGGAGGTGTTAGAGAGGACTAACATGCTTCATGGAGAGAGCTCCAGTGCAGAAAAATAAAGGAAGCTGATAATAAAATGTCAGACTTAACAGTAAGTTAAGTTGTCTTTGTAGTACAGCATGAAAATGTGGTGATTTTGAGCATGAATAAATGGTGATCTTGTCACACAGACTGTAGTTCAACAAAGCATTTTAGCATATGATTGAATTTAAAGATGTGAATAATCCCACTGTTGTGAAGCAAAGCATTGGAAAAAAAAAAAAAAGCTTAACTGGAGTATATTTGGATTCCTTCCTAAACAAGAGTTTCAAACCTCAAACTCCACGCTCTTAGCTTATTCTGTCTCTGAAAAATTACATGGGTACCTCTTGGTCTACCACAGGGCAGGTAGGGCACCCTGCACATACCAGCTCTGGGGGAAGAAGTCCCCCTTCGAGCCTGCCACTACTTTTATTATTTCCAGGTTTTTTGATGGAGGTTTCTGCCCTCTCTGTGTGAACCCTTCCTAACCTATATTTCATTTACTTGAGTTAGTTTAAATTCTTAAACTGAGTTAGGTAATAGACACATAACACTTGCCTGAAATGAGCTGAGGAGCTCGCAGTTTCCCCCAAAGGTAAGGGCAGTGTTGAGCAGCTGGAAATGGGCCAGCTGGCTCTAACTTACTCCTTTAGTATAACTAGCCCTGGAGGAGGAGATGTGTGTGGTTATTTGTTCATTTTTAATACATGTATATTGGTAAGTTCCAGCGTAGACCCAGGTCACAACTATACTTTGTTTTGCTTCACAAACTAGAGCATGACTTATCAGTATAAACACTTTCACAGCACTTTTTGCATGTGTGCTCTATAACCATGAGAGATGTGGCCCCATTAAACCTGCTAATGTAACAAAAGTGACCCGACAAAGTCCATGTTGATGTTAATCAATGTTCTGTTGTCATTAAACCAACCCCAAATACACATACACAGACTGCACACCATAGACAAGGCAGAACCTTTTAAGGCTCCTAGTCACTTTAAGCAAGCTTTGGTATAGATGCTTGTGCAGTTTTAGGCTAGATTTAACTAGATCTGTATTTAAATGTAACTACTCAGCATTTTATAACCATTTCCTTAGCTGCTTTGCTTCTCTCATCTGCAGAGAAGTCTAACAATCTCTAGGCAGCAGACAATAAGCAAATTCTAAACTTCTCTGGATTTAATCTGTGAAAGGACTTTGCTTTACTGTTCTTTTATCTATTACCTGCATAGACTGCATAAAGTAAATGTCGAGCACACAGAGCAGTTGTATTTATGTTTTAATGAGACCTCTATGCAGCTGCATTTGGCTGAAATTAGCTGTTCCTTTTTTTAATTAGGGCTATAAAATGAAAGTATATTATACTTGTGTTTTGATAGAAATATATATTTTCTCTCTCCCTGTGCACCAAGGGACCCTCAGGGCTACAGAGATTAATCATCGAGTTTAATTTAATGCAGTGGGAGAGAGACCTGTGTGGTCAGGCGGGCATTAAAAAGTGCCTTTGATCTGCCTCAGGTGCACTGAGCCCCAGTGAGCCAGCAACAATAATACCTTTGTGAGATGATCAGAGACGAGAGAGGGAGAAAATGGCCTGTGTGGAAACTCAAGGCCGTCCTTTGTTGTGGTTCTGGCAAACGAAAGAGCCAACTGTCAGGAGAAATTCAGAAAACAGAAAGCAGGGTGAAAGTATGGTTGGATTTCTTTCAAGGGCTCGTAACAGGAAACTGTTCAAAATCATCTGCTATGCCTTGCTTTCCCTCCTCCCCCTCCTGTTCTGGAGAGGGCAGGGGTACTACTGCTGGTGTATGTGTGTTGGTACAGTATTTCCATTCTCTACACCAAATACTTCATGAGTCACAGGAGCAGGTATTGCTTGAACACAGCATTTACTTGAAGAGAAACTGCACCATGACCCAGTTTTTCATTACCTCAAGGACTCTAGAGATCTTGAACAAAAGACTTTGCTAATCATGTCTTTGATATTTTAGAAAGTACTAATGTGGGACCTAATTTTACTCATGGCTATAATAGTTTAATTTGTGGTAGAACTACCATTTTTAAGTGAGGATATGCTTTTGGAATTAACCACTGGCAGTTTGGGGTAATCAGACACACACAAAGCATTTTGTGTTTCTGTTGAGATACTTGAATAGCTCATGAAAGAAGCAAGAAGCAGACTGTAATTAGGTTACTGATCCAAGTCCAGGTCTGAGCTGGTTGTTGCAGAAAGTCACTGCCACCTCAGGGCTCATCCATTATCCATGAGCAAAAAGGAAAGAAAAGATGGTTTTCTGAATATTTTTGGACAGTTATTCATTTTACATGATTCTCTGCTGCCTCCTTTGCCCTAGAAAAGTCATCGGCAGAATCTGCATTTGCCGTGGCAAATAACCTGTCCTTTTACGTGTCAAGGGTTGTCTCTCAGTTTAGGGCTGGGATTCATTGGCTGCAGGTTTGATCTCTCTCTGCAGCATAGGTATTCCTTTCAAGTGATGGATACTCAGTGGCTGACTTTCCTGAGTGGGCTGCTGCATGTCACTATGCTTTGCAGACAGGGCCTCTAAGCTCCAGCACCCACATTCAGTTTTGGAACTTTTAGGAGACTTTCCTTGTGTAGCCATGGAGACTACACAAAATGTGTGAGCAGTTTTTCACAGTAAAATAGCAGCAGGTTTGAAGCATTGAAATAAGAGCTTGCATGTTGTTCCTAGCTGGTAGTTTGCATGGGTCTAACAGACGTGCTCTAACTTCTGGGAATAAGGTAATTGGTTTCACTAAAAGCCCGACTTCCTGTCAATATCTTATGGGGTTTATGGGATATTTAAAAGGTTTCAAAAATCCTTTCTTTTCTCCTGAAACCTTTATGTGATTTAGGAGATGTAGGTAGATATCTGCCTTATTTTGTCCCAGTCCTGAACACAAGCATGCTTGCCCTTTTGCAGATGTGTAAAACCACCAAGAATTGAGTTTACTCTTGGGTGCCAGTTAGCAATCAACAAAAAAGTAATATGAGGAAGCAGTGTGGCAGGGGAGTTGGACACAGACGTTTCCTAGTGTTCTTTGGAGCAAGTGATCTAGCAGTACTGCTGCTGCTTTCTGGTTTTAAACTGAAAGAGGGTAGATACAGACTAGCTTATAAATATATATATAAGGAAGATGTTTTACAATGAGGGTGCTGAGGCGCTGGGACAGCATGCCCTGAGGAGCTGTGGCTGCCTCATCCCTGGCAGTGTTAGGTTGGATGGGGCTTGGAGCAACCTGGTCTAGTGGAAGGTGACAGTGGGTTGGAACTGGATGAGCTTTCCAGGTCCCTTCCAACCCAAATCATTCTGTGATTCTATGATTCTGTTGTATAGAACATGGGAGATCTTAGTATATGGGAAATCTTATAGTATGGGAAATATTGCAGTTTCCCCTACCTGATACCAGCATAGCACTCCTCTTGTGGGCACCAAATTCACAAAATAAAACATCCTTTTTTCCTCAAAGTAAAAGAATCTACAGGTCAGAGGAAACTTACCTGACACTGAACAAACTGGGACCAGACAGGGACTGGTTTTTAGTAGCCAGAGATTATGGAAGGAATTTGCAGAATTAAAATGGTGATATAAATGATAGATCTGTAATGGGAACAGTGAGGGTGCTGAGGGTTATGGAGTCACTAGGAGGGCAGAGTGGCTCTTGCCCCAGACTGGGACTTCTATGGAAGACAAGGAGCGATGTGCAAGTAGAGCTGCAAGGTTCAGAAATACTGAAGCCCATTGTGAGAGGGAGAAGGGATCTTGGGGAACACCCATCTTCTCTTTTCTTGTCTGCAGTATGGGACCAGGCTAATCTTGTATGTGTACAGGATATCTGCTATTTATGCACATTGAATAAGGTAGGAGAGATCCACATAAATTAACCTTGTTGATAAAACACATATAAACTCTCATTTCTGCCTCTTTTGTTGTGAATTAGGCTCAGAGATAAGTGTTGTGCTTTGCACTTGTCCCAGAACAGTTGTTCTGTTATCTAAATATTTGTCATTCTTGCTCTAACACCTTTTTGGATTCACAGCTGAAGGAAGTAGCCAGAGCAGCTTCTAATGGGAACACTGCCTGGCCTGATTTCAGCTTACTGAGGCAGAGGGGGTCTGAATTTGGTGGCATTTTGAGTCCCAAATATACAGGGTTTGTGTTCCCTCCTATGCATGTTTAGGGATGTGTCTGTGTTCTTCTTCAGTCATTCCTTCTTCTTTATCAGCTCT